CCTTGGTTTGGGCACCCAAACAGTATCACCAGGTAGGATATCTTATTTTACTATTATGCTTCTTTTTTAAATAATACTTGATTCTTAGTAATTATTCTATAGATGTCGACCTACAGTGGAAACCATTTGTCTGCGATTCATGTACTTTTTTTACTAAATATTTTAAGTTACTTACGAGTAGTGTAAACTTTAAGATTAAATTTATTAAACCACATTGAGTAGCCATTATGGTTTGCTTCTAAAATTAATTAATCCCCTTCATAGGTTTCTAGTGTATTGCCTATCGTGATGAAGCAACCGAGCTATACTGGCTGGAACAACCGTTCCTCAAGGTCCTACCATGCCAGACAGGTCGGTTGAAGAGCGGTAAGACTAAAAGCAACAAACCCAAAGTCCGAAGAAGTCGTACTGCTGACTGTACAGACGTGTGACGGCTGTAAGGTGGTTCCTTCAGACAACCAGCGTGACAGCGATGCTGCCTTTCCACCGTTAGGGCAAACGATTCGAGTACGTGGAACGCTATTCCTGGTCTCCTGAAACCACGCTCTAAACTACACGTAGGAGCTTTTAACGTACGAACACTTTGCCAAAAAGGACAGCAGGCTTCCTTAGCTAAAACTTTAGAATCTCGCGCCATCGATGTGTGCTGCGTCTCCGAAACGCGCATACAGGATCCGAGTAGCGTCATTCATTTGACCTCACCATGCCAAAATAAAGAACCGACTCGATTCACACTTCGTGTATCTGGAAGCCCTGATTCTGCTTCCCGTGGCCTCGCCGGCGTAGGTATAGCATTGAGTCCTAGGGCAGAACTAGCTCTCTTAGAGTGGATCCCAGTAGACAGTCGTTTGTGTGCTGTCCGACTGAACGGAACAGTAAGAATCCGGAAAGATAGGGACACTCGTCGTTGCCTCTTCGTCGTCTCTGCCTATTCTCCCACTGACTGCAGCTCAGATGATGTAAAAGATGAGTTTTACAGAAAGCTTTCGGACCTTCTCCGAAAAGCTAGGCGCTCTGATGTAGTAATAATGGCCGGTGACTTTAATGCTCAAGTAGGCAAATTAAGAGATAGGGAAAGACACCTAGGTGGATCTTATGGTGTCGTGGCTCAAAGAACAGATAATGGCGACCGTCTGTTGCAGCTATGCTCAGATAACCGCCTGTTCCTTGCAAATACTAACTTTAAACATAAGGAAAAACACCTTTTAACATGGATACCCCCTAATTCGTCCCAACGTTGGACCCAAATAGATCACATCGCTATCAGCCACCGACGGAGGGGCTCGGTAGAAGACTCGCTCATTCTGGAGCACACGCTTAGATTCAGATCATGCTCTAGTGCGAGCGCGTATTTGCTTGCGTCTTACTGGACGTAGGAAAGACGCTGCAAGGAAACCTCTTAGGGGCCTACTTAATGATAGTCAAGCTAAGAGTATATTTCAGGAACAACTAGGAAAACAGTTGGGCAGCCATGTATGTGATGCTCACCCCGAGGCAGCATGGAACGATATCCGAAGAGTTGTGGAAACAGCAGTGATATCTGCTAGTAAGGTAAACCAGAAGGTTAGGGAGCAACAATGGATCTCAGCAGCATCTATCTCACTGATAGATGCTCGGGAACTCATTCCACCTGGCTCTGAACATAATGAAGAGCGGAGTCAGCTTAAGCGCAAGCTGACAAGAAGTCTACGCAATGATCGTGAACAGTGGTGGGTAGCGAAAGCAAGAGAGATGGAAAAGGCAGCGGCAATAGGTAATAGCAGACAATTGTTCAGACTCGTTAAGGAAACCGGAATTAGGAACCCGACCGTTAGCGAAACAATCTCAGAGAAAGATGGACATATTATTCATTCTCAATCCAGGAGATTGGATCGATGGGCAGAACACTTTATGGATCAGTTCAACTGGCCTTCAGCCACACTTCGGTTTCCCACGATCTCCAGTCAACCTGAATGGCAAGTTAATGTAGGTCCTCCGTCTCTTTACGAAGTTGAAAAAGCCATAGGAAATCTGAAGCGAGGGAGAGCAGCAGGCCCTGGCAGGTTTACTCCTGAGATTTTTAAGGATGGTGGTCCAGTATTAGCAATGAGATTAACCGAGGTCTTAATCCAATTTCCTTTTTAGGTGCCTCCAGAGGAACCCTTCCACGGTATGGGCAACCGGGAAGTGATAACCACCCTGATACCTCTAACAGCACTCAAGACCACTGACTGACTGACCTATTAGTTGAAAGTTAAAGGGCTTTAAATAGTAATTTATTGCTCCCAACAATGTTTTACATATAATTCACATCAACTGTAACCCACTTAATTGAATCAGTCAGAGAAGTTACTCTGAAGAGCCTGAAACATTTCTAAAGCTTGGTTCTATAAGTCAAAAAAATACATTGAAATGGGCTATTATGAAGGCATGAAAACCTCAAGGTGGGTGTGTCACTTTTGATCCACTGAGTTGGCGTTCACTAGCCAATACTTCCAATAACTACTCACTGAAATTGAGGCTAATTGTTTAGCTCCTGATATAACTGAATTCGGTTGGTTTTTTCATTAGAAGATAGCGAATTCTCAAAGTCAACTGATTATTGTCATCATTAAAATGAGAAGTTTACTCGAAAGAATGTCTATATTAAAAACTGGCTTCACATATATAACAGCCGGATAATGTCTCAAATCCCTAAAATTGGAAATCCATTCACCATAAAGCTTCAGGGTATGCACATTACGATCCTTGGTGAGTTCGTATGTGTGCACACATTGTTGAGGGGTTCACTGCCACGGAAGTCTTACTCACTACCAACCCGCGGCATCACTATTGTTTATGACATTAAGAGGATGAAAAGTGAATGCCCAACATTTTAACCGGTTTGGTGGATATGAAGGATACACATAGGGGAGTTGAAAAAGCCTCATTCCAAACCAATGGTACACATGGGCTCCAGTATCCTAAGGAAATAAATGGCATATGAATCTATTGCTGGTCACCTGCTACTATGGGACTACATCTCCTTACGTCGCTCCTGTCATGTGGATCAGACTTTTAGGTGGAAGGCTCCAAGTATGGTCGCCTAAGAAAACCACCTGCTTCGGTTTGGGCAGCCGAGCAGTATACCAACCCTTACACAAATCGAATGATTTATGTGGTGCATATTTATTTGGTACCTTCTTGTGCCAATGTTTATGTATTCAAGTAAATAAATAAATAGAACACTATGGCGAAAACACTTATCCAATTTACCCTGGTTTGAAACAATTTCTAATCTCACATTATTTATGTATTTATCTTAACACATAGATATCGGTACAAGGAGGCACCAAATACATATGCGTCAAATAAATCATTCGATTTGTGTGAGGGCTGTAATACTGCCTGGGTGCCCAAACCGAAGCACGGGGTTTTCTTAGGGGGCCACACCCAGAACCTTCGACCTGAAGGTCTGATCCACAAGGCAGTGGAGCAAGGTAAAGAGATGCAGTCCCATAGTAGCCGGTGACCAACGATTGGTTCATACACCACTTGTTCCTTCAGGATACTGCAGCCCATGTGCACCATTGCTTTGGAGTCAGGGTTTCCCAACTACCCTAAGTGGACTCTCCATGTCCACCAACCCGGTTAAAGCGCCGGAAGTTCGCTTTTCGTCCTCTCAATTTTGTAAACAACACCCGCACCACTAGAAGGTAGTGAATAGAACTTCCCTGGCAGAGGCTATATACGCGTGGTCATATGAGACCATTTCGAGAGGGAGTGCTAACTCTCCCCACTCTCCGCCGTACCATGGCATTTGAGAGCAATTAATCTACTAAATAAACTACCAATAAATAAGTTAAACGATCTTCATCAAAACTATCTCATACTAAAAATCACTTTTTTTTCTAAACAGTACAACTTGATGCAAAAGTAAATTATATCATAAGGACTTTGTCAAGTTTCTCATGTTTGTTTGTTTGTTTGTTTATAAAAAAGAAAAATTAAATATATAAATTAAAAAGAATTACTTCATGTGCAACTTTATGAGTAGTAGATTGAGCAATGTCTATTGATATGTGTAGGTATAATAAATATATCCATAGAAAACCAGTGAAATGATATCAAACAAAACAAAAAAGAAAACAACCCATATCCATAATCAGAAAAGGTAACCAGACATAATATACTACTTAGTAACCGGAAAAAAATAGATATCCAAGAGAAAATTAAAATAAACAAATGAATTACAGTTGATCAATTGAATCATTCATGTGAAATAGTTTATATATGTATGAGCTTAATTGTATGTTTGAATGTTTCTGTGTGTGTGTGTGTCTGTGTTTGTTTGTTTGTTTGTTTGTTTCTATCAAGATGTAAGGAATAGAGATAAAAAAAGGCAAGAGAGGGGAGTAGCGCGCGCGAGAGAGAGAGAGAGAGGGAGGGAAAAAAACCTTTTTTAAACTTTGGAATTTATTGTTGCTTTCTTCATGAAAATAAAAAGATTATTTATAGAATGTTGTTTAATTCTATAATGGAAATGAAAGAAGAAAGAGTTATGATTTCAAAGATGATCACAAATAAATTATCTACATGTATATGTATGTAACTAGGATGATATGTTACGCTCTTACATAATACTTTATATTTACTTTTCTCTATAGAGAATTCTCAAGAAGAAGAAGAAGAAGAAGAAGAGGAGAAGGAGAAGGATGAGAAGAATGAATAACATGGCTTAGATGCAATCAACATGTAGATAATGCACAAAATTCATTTAGTCTCTATAAACCCATTGTATTGAAGGATACTCAATGAGTCCGCCTTAAGTATAACACAAAATGTTTGATAGAAAAAGAAAAAGCAACAAAACAGTACTAATAGATATCAATAGGAGATATGTCTTTCAACAACAACAACAACAACAAAAAGTTCATTACCTTGTGCTAAATTGATATGAGATTTCAACCATATATAAATGTGTATATGTATGAAATAAATAGGAATGTATAAACTAGAACAAATAATAAACTGAATACCATTTATATTGTAATTAATCCAACATTCATATCATCATCACTTTCAATTTCTTCATTAATTTGAATTGTTGAATCACCATTAAATCCACTTGTTTTAGTTAATGGATTATGATTATTTGAGGATACAACATTTGTTGTTAATGGATGAGATGATGATGATGATGATAATAATTGAGATGGAATATATTGTGATTGAGATTGAGGATAATTTGTTGTTGTTGATGATAATAATAGTGGTGAACTACGTCCAGTTATTGGAATATTTTTTCGTGGACCATATAAAAGATCAGAACTTTGTGAAAATCTTGAACGTGAAATCTCTCTTGGAACTAAACACATACTTTGATCAGCTGGTCGAATAGTAATAATTAAATTTGAACTATTAGCAACCATCATATCATTGACTTGATCTAATGATTTACCGTAAACTTCTATACCATTCACTTCAATTATTTCATCATTCACAGCTAATAAACCAGTATTATAAGCAATCCCATCTTCGGCTAGACGAGATATAAAAAAGGCTGGAATAGTTTCATAACCATTTTTAGTATAATATTGAATAGCACCAGTACGAATATTTAAACCGAACTGTTTACCAGGTGAACGGATCAGGCTTACACTAAATAAAGAATTACAAAAATTAGATGGATATATATATATATATATATATATATATGGACAGAGAATAAAGATCTAGGTAAATCTGTAAACAGTGAAGCGATGCCTTAGTAATTAAGGCACTTAGCATTCAAACAGATCAGAAATTTGAACTTTTTACAACTCATTTATTACGTACAGATTTATTTACTTGACTACAAACCACACTCTAAGTATGTGGGCTAGTGAGTGATACTACATGATTGCCAAACAGAAGTAGCCGGAGCGGGGTTTGGACTTGTAACTTAGTTGCTGAAAATCGAACTTCCTAACCACTGAGTCCTCGTAGATTTGAACACCGCTCCATCTATTTTTTTTAGTTGTGGAAGCCGATCAGTATCACTAGTCCTCATAACATTAAAAGCGTGTTGCTCAAACTCGAAGATACATAAACTAATACTTAACAAATATGTTAGACCATGTGTTGTGTAAAAAGATTGTAGTTGGTATACTTCAGATAAGTGCAACAAGAGCAGTTCAAAAAACATCAAAACCACCAAGAAAAGTGATACGAATACTAGCAAAATAAGTTGGTATGAGATTTTAAACAAAAATTCTTGAAATAGCTGAACCCTAAGTGTACAAAAAATATCAAGAATGAAGTTATATTTGAACTTAAATAAATCTAATGTTTTTCTCGTCAGCATGGTTTGAGTCTCAGAATTTCACAACACATTTCTTTTTTAATATAAAGGGATGCAAATAAATGAGCAAAATACTAGTAAATACAGTATGAAAGGTATAATGATAAAAATTCTCTAGATTTACAAGGTAACAAGAAGTGAGTACATCCATGCAACTTTATTCAACTTTAGACCCTATCAACCGATATAACTTAGAAAGGTAGTTAATTTTTAACATACTTTGATCAGCTGGTCGAATAGTAATAATTAAATTTGAACTATTAGCAACCATCATATCATTGACTTGATCTAATGATTTACCGTAAACTTCTATACCATTCACTTCAATTATTTCATCATTCACAGCTAATAAACCAGTATTATAAGCAATCCCATCTTCGGCTAGACGAGATATAAAAAAGGCTGGAATAGTTTCATAACCATTTTTAGTATAATATTGAATAGCACCAGTACGAATATTTAAACCGAACTGTTTACCAGGTGAACGGATCAGGCTTACACTAAATAAAGAATTACAAAAATTAGATGGATATATATATATATATATATATATATATGGACAGAGAATAAAGATCTAGGTAAATCTGTAAACAGTGAAGCGATGCCTTAGTAATTAAGGCACTTAGCATTCAAACAGATCAGAAATTTGAACTTTTTACAACTCATTTATTACGTACAGATTTATTTACTTGACTACAAACCACACTCTAAGTATGTGGGCTAGTGAGTGATACTACATGATTGCCAAACAGAAGTAGCCGGAGCGGGGTTTGGACTTGTAACTTAGTTGCTGAAAATCGAACTTCCTAACCACTGAGTCCTCGTAGATTTGAACACCGCTCCATCTATTTTTTTTAGTTGTGGAAGCCGATCAGTATCACTAGTCCTCATAACATTAAAAGCGTGTTGCTCAAACTCGAAGATACATAAACTAATACTTAACAAATATGTTAGACCATGTGTTGTGTAAAAAGATTGTAGTTGGTATACTTCAGATAAGTGCAACAAGAGCAGTTCAAAAAACATCAAAACCACCAAGAAAAGTGATACGAATACTAGCAAAATAAGTTGGTATGAGATTTTAAACAAAAATTCTTGAAATAGCTGAACCCTAAGTGTACAAAAAATATCAAGAATGAAGTTATATTTGAACTTAAATAAATCTAATGTTTTTCTCGTCAGCATGGTTTGAGTCTCAGAATTTCACAACACATTTCTTTTTTAACATAAAGGGATGCAAATAAATGAGCAAAATACTAGTAAATACAGTATGAAAGGTATAATGATAAAAATTCTCTAGATTTACAAGGTAACAAGAAGTGAGTACATCCATGCAACTTTATTCAACTTTAGACCCTATCAACCGATATAACTTAGAAAGGTAGTTAATTTTTAACTTTTAATCAAAAAGCGTGCGATTGATTTATTGTATTCCTCAGACTAAGATCTGTTGACTTCATAGATTAGGTATGTCTGAAATCTTGAGGAAACTGATGTTAATGGGTGCCAGCTAACACGAGAACTACGTCAAGGAAGGAATTTCAGCAATCCCTTCTGTTATTTTTATTCTGCTGTGTGAATTGAGATGGCCATTTAGGGCAACACACCCTTGTGCCAAGTTCTATGTAGATGAAATCTCCCACACAATTTACGTTTAATAACTCAGGGAGACGGTTTGTATGTTGCTATGTGTGGAAAGTAAATTTGTGATACCTTACAAGCAGCACAAATGGCATGGACGAGTCGATAGTTGTTTAGACAATTGTCCTGAACTCTTATGCATATCAAAAACAGCACGTTTTTGACAAACCAAAGATTACGACTTTAATTAAAGTAACATTGTTCGGATAACTTTCGCAAAGTCTTGCATAACAGACCCGAAGGCCGAAAAATCTCCAGAATTTTAACGTGTACAGAAAGGATGAGTTTCGAAAACTATAGGAAGTTGGGTGGGCTTAAGTAAACATCATAAGATGCTATTTACAAACGATTAAATTCTTACCGTCTTAATGTCCATGGTATAATATCAACATCCAGTATCGATGAGACCAAGTGGAAGTCACTCATAACGCTTATGACAGGTTTTTCGGATCGACGATGTTTCTCACTGCCACCGAAGTTTCGAAGAGTGTCGGCTGCCCCTCGATGTATAAGACCATGTTTAGAAGATTTGTACCCGTAAATTTCTCCGTAACTCTCACCTATGCAAGAATAATTTTATAAGAATCTACACACCTTTTCGCTGAAGTAAAATCCTAAGTAAAGGCTTTGAAGAATTTACAGCCAATTCGAAATTCTTATTATTACTTATCGGTAGTAAATCTGCGTTTTTCGGCTCGACATACTGAATAACAAAAGGGATGTTGAACAACATGTGAATACGTTCAAGTAGGGAATAGAAAGCGTTGTATTGTAGTGTATCCTCTGCCATGAAACTGAATCGCCGGAACTCGGCACCAAACTTTAATAGGAATTATTCTCGTGTTGTATAGAATTACCTTGCTTTTGACTTCTACAAGCCTACCTGGGTTCATTCTCTAACCGACCTCAAAGCTCGCTCCCAAAGCAATATTTGAAACTGTTCACAGGGTCAAACTTCAAACTTTGCTAAGTCAAATAGAAAATTCCTTACTTTTTGGGTCTTAGTGGCAGGAGAGTGCATTTGTTTATGGGAAGATATAATCCCTATGTCACTTTTTCTTTAAAAGTGTAGGATTATTATGATTGTTTTAACACATGAATTCTATCGTTTTTAGTTACAAATGAGTTAAATTCAGCTTAAGAGCTAATTTAGAACGCTATGTTCAAGAGGATATTACTCATCTTATCAAAGATGTAGAAACTAGGTTTTCTTTAAACAATAGACATTAACCCATAAACATGATTTTCCATAACATTTTTCTAGGTGCGACTAGAACAATTACGCCTACTTCCTATCCATCTTATTGTAAGATGAAGGGTGATCTCATGTGGCTTGACTGCCAACATGTATTATATTTTGTTTTCTTCAGGAATAGCCATCTTCGAAGTCTTTACAAACAGCTCCTAAAACGTTGACCAAGGAAACTCACAGTAGTACACCGTTTTTCTCATAGTGGTAAGCGACAAGAACACACTAAATGAGAAAGTGATTTTGACTCCACTGATGAACCCTTTCAAAGCAAATTTAGTTATTAACTGATGTACATACTGTAAAGATTAATACAGACCAACCATTATGCTGTTCTTATGAATGAAGACTGAGTACTAAGACGTAGAAATGTTCATCGATGACGGGATAAGTGATTTAAGAGAGACAAGGCGATGAGTGACCGCTGTTATCTATTGAACTCAAACAAGTATAGTCTTCTATTAAAAGATACAGAAGATAGTTCATTGACTGTCATTTTTCTTGGGCGTTTGAGGTGGGTTGAAATAAACATAATTTGTAAACAAGTTCTGTCACCATTCGTAGTTTTTTGTGGTTCCATGCAATGTATACGAAGATTGCATTGACTGAAACACTTTTTTAAACTGACTTCTATTATTACTGTTCACTTTTCTCATGGTATGCTGATTGTGGTTCGTTAAATAAATGTGTTCGCATATACACCTGTAGCGGTAAATAAATCCCCAAAATAAATAGCACTAAGTTTTCGACATTGGATGCTGACCATATGTTTTAGTGGACTCACCTAGCTGAAGGCGCTCGGTCAGTCATCCGCACCAGATCACGTGTGGTAACGCCGTGCTCAACATCAACCGCAATCGCTAGCCAGATTAGATCAGAGAATTCCGATATATTGGTCATCGCCAAATATACTCTTCCGATCTCCTCGACTCTGTCTTTTGATTTCTCTGGGCGGGAACGAAATATATTAGAAGGTGTTACTGGTAGAAGCGTTGTCAAACACTGAATACCTGTGACATCATCATTGGTGAAACCGACGTGATCTGGTACACCTAATTGCAACTGTGAGTCTGTTCCTTTTTGGGATTTTTATATATCATTGCCTTATTTTTTTTAACTTTTTTAAACATTGTGATTTTTTTTTCGTGTTTTTTCCTGGATATATATATTTTCCCCTTGTTCATTATCGTACTTCATACTTCATCATGACTGAACAGACACCTAAAGTACTCAAGCTTAAGACTTTGTCCCCGCCTTCGTTTCAACTCATGCCTTTCTGGCCCGACAACATCGAAGCCTGGTTTTGCTACGCAGAAGCCGACTTCTCCGAGCACGGCGTGATCGACACACGTGCACAATTCCTCGCAGTAGTCAAGGCACTACCGCGCGAATTCAACAGGTACGTAACACCTAGTATGTTTACTAGTGATGTTTCTGATCCTTACGAAATCTTAAAACGCTCGATTCTTAAACGAGGAGACCTAACCGATCGACAAAGGTTAGATCAACTCTTCAACAATATCGACCTGCAACACGGTTCTGCGACAGACATGTTGCAACGGATGAGAGAGGTTATAGGCCCAAGAACTTTCGACGAAGGCCTATTCAAACAACTCTTCTTGTCAAAACTTCCCCAACAGGTGCAAGCAGTTCTGGTCTCGTTCCAGAACAACGCCTTAGACGAGCTAGCTGCATCTGCCGACCGCATATTAGAAATTACGAAATCTACTACCGAGGTATTTTCAGTCAAAGAAAAACCTCAAACGACTCAGAATGATATAAACGACTTATGTCACACACTCACGCGTTATCTTAGTCTTCGTAACGACCGTAAGAGATCGCGCACACCACGTAGAAGCATTTCTCGTAAGCGATCTGTCTCTAGACCACGAGAGACAGATAACCCCGACTGGTGCTGGTATCATAACCAGTATGGAAAGCCTTCCAGAAATTGCAGAAAACCCTGCAATTTTCCCAACACGAAACCGACTGATTCGAAAAGCAATTCGGGAAACTTCCAAGCCGGCACGCGTTAACGGCAACCGTAGCCGGCGAACAAAGCCGTCTGTTATTCGTCACAGATGTGACAACGAGAGTTCGTTACCTCGTCGACACTGGCGCAGAAGTTAGCGTTCTCCCAGCAAATCCTAACGACCGGCTTCAGGAGTCGGCTTTTAACTTACAGGCGGCAAATGGAAAACCGATCGCTACGTATGGCAAAAGGTACGTTTACCTTAACGTGGGTTTACGCCAACCCATCCACTGGATTTTCGTTGTTGCAGATGTTTCTATGCCAATCATTGGTATGGACCTTCTACAACACCACAATCTGATCATCGACACCCGCAAACGGAGGCTAGTAGACGGAAACACTAATTTGTCCGTTTGCGTAACTTCTTTTACTGGTTGTAGAGTATCCCCAGTCACAGTTAAACATATGATAGACCCACTCTATCAACCACTACTCGATAAGTACCCTGAGATACAACAAACTCAAACGAAACTACCGTGTGTAACCAGCAATGTTACACATCACATCACGACTACAGGACCACCTGTATTTTCTAAAGCACGCCGACTAGCTCCTGAAAAGCTAAGGTTAGCGAAAAACGAATTCGATCACATGATGGACTTAGGAATCATACGACCGTCAAGTAGCCCATATGCATCTCCGTTGCACATGGTCCCTAAAAAGGACAGCAACGATTGGCGTCCAACTGGTGACTATCGGCGATTGAACGCGAAAACCATTCCCGATCGTTACCCGTTGCCTCACATTCACGATTTGACAGCTACCTTGAAAGGTACAACTGTCTTTTCGAAAATCGACTTGGTCAAAGCGTATAACCAAATCCCTATGGCTACTGACGACATACCGAAAACAGCTATCATAACTCCTTTCGGACTCTATGAATTTTTGCGTATGCCTTTCGGTCTAAGGAATGCTGCTCAAACATTCCAAAGATTCATAGACGACGTTTTTCGAGGTCTCAACTTCGTACACGCGTATGTTGATGACTGTCTAATCGCAAGTCCGGACAGAGAAACACATCTCAAGCATCTGGATCTTGTTTTCGAACGACTTCAAAAACATGGCATAACTGTAAACGTTCAGAAATGCCAATTCGGAACCGACTCGTTAGACTTCCTAGGACACACTATCGATGCTCAAGGCATTCGACCTCTTAGGACCAAAGTGGCGGCCATTCTGGATTACCCAGAACCGACCACCGTCAAGCAATTACGCACGTTTAACGGCCTGGTAAGTTTCTATAGACGTTTCATACCGAAATGCGCATTACTCATGAAACCTCTAACCGACCAACTTCGTGGAAATGCGAAATCCATTAATTTGGACGACACCGCACGAAAAGCATTCTCCACAGTTAAGGAACTGATTGCTAAAGCAACAATGCTCGCACATCAGGACACCCGAGCACCCATTAGCATCGCAGTAGACGCATCCGACTCGGCAATCGGAGGAGTCTTACAACAATGGGTTAACAACTCCTGGCAACCCTTGGCATTTTTCTCTAGACGGTTGCTAGACACCGAATCGAGGTACAGCACATTCGGTAGGGAACTCCTAGCTATGTATTGTGCTGTACGGCATTTCAACACTACATCGAAGGTCGTGAATTCACTCTTTTCACGGACCATAAACCGCTCACTTTCTCGTTAAGCTCTCCTTCTGACAAGTACTCTCCCCGTGAGTCTCGACAACTGGACTACATTTCGCAGTTTACTTCAGATATTCAACACATCTCTGGAGCAAACAATGTAGTTGCAGACGCTTTATCTCGTATAACTTCCTTGAACAGTTTCCAAGGAATCGACCTTCTTAAACTCGCCGAGCTTCAAAAAGAAGACACTGATCTTCAGCACGAGTTATCGTCCACAACACTTAAACTACGCATCAAACAGATGGGAACAGGTAAGGAAACCTTACTTTGTGACACATCTACAGGTAGGGATCGCCCAATCGTGCCGAAACATTATCGACGCAATGTCTTCAACACATTGCACAAACTTTCGCATCCAGGTGTTCGTGCAACCATCAAGCTTATAGCAGAAAGGTTTTGCTGGCCTGGAATGAATAAAGACGTGAGGGAGTGGGCACGCTCCTGTGTAAGCTGCCAAAAATCTAAGGTTATCAGACACAATAAATGTCCCTTAGGCTCGTTTAAAACTCCCGATGCTCGTTTCGACCATGTTCATCTGGATTTGGTAGGACCTTTACCAGATTCAAATGGATACTCTTATCTCTTAACCTGCGTAGACCGTTTCACTCGATGGCCAGAAGCAGTACCTATCAAGGACATCACTGCTGAAACAGTGGCTCGCACCTTCGTCGAACGATGGGTAGCAAACTTCGGCTGCCCTTCAACCATCACTACAGACCGCGGACGTCAATTTGAATCTGATCTTTTCCGTCGTCTGACCACTCTTTTAGGAAGCACTCGCTTCCGAACGACCGCCTACCATCCACAAGCAAACGGGTTGGTAGAACGTTTTCACCGACAACTGAAAGCTTCGCTATCAGCTACAAACGTTTCACAGTGGACCGACGCTCTTCCACTCGTCTTACTAGGTATCCGCAATGCAGTGAAAGCTGACATTGGATACACTGCGTCTCAACTCGTT